TTTATGACCTTTTTAAAAATTGTTCTGCTCCAGGAAATTTAGCTAAGAAAACAACTCCGATAGTGCCCTGACTCCCATTTGCATTTACTGCTAAGCCAGCTAAGCCCAGAGAGGCTGAATCTTATCACAACGTCTGTGTTTGCACCACCAAATAATTTACTCACCTAGGCAAAGAAAAAAGAAAATCTCAGGAAAACATTTATTTTGTTTCCCTCACCACGCAGTGTGGGGCACAGATGCCCTGGACGCCTGCCTCTACTGCTCTGGCTGCCTTTGGATATAGATCTGAAACATCCAAATTCAAGAGAGTCCTGCTTTTTAAGGAACAACAAAGAGAGGGAACACCGACAGATAAATCCTATGAATAGGAGAATTATAATGGCATAATATAAATCTGAATAAAATAAGGAACCAGAGTGCAAACAACCAGTTTTCCCCCAAGTCGCTGAGGTCTGGGAAAATTATTATTCTAAGGCTGTTAAGTATGTGTGTGTGTGTGGGGGGGGGGGGGGGGTGTTATGTGTGTTTGCATATTCACAATCTTGAAATATAACAAATATGGGAAAGCAATTATTCTAGTATATAAGGAAAAAATAGACAATTTTTACAAAATAACTATACTGGTGGAAATAAAGGTATTTAATTGATTAGTTTTGAAAAGCATTTCATGGATGAGTAGGACCTCTGGTGTTAAACTAGAGAAAGTTCACAACTTATATATCTTACTGGCAGAAAAAGAAGCAAATGTAATTTCCTTAAAGCTTATCATTGGAGGTTGTGGGCCGTTGTTTTGTGACCTTTCCTTCAACGCTTCTTCATTTTCTCCCTCTCTCCTTGCCTCCTCAATCTCACAAATATAAATGAGTATCTACTATGTGCTAGGCTAGGCACTATCCACATGAAAGAATATTGTCTTTGTTGTTCTGATTACTTAACTTTACATATTACATGTATTTCTGCATTCCTATATTGGGGGGGGGGGAAGCAAGATTACAGTATACATATAGTATATATATTTTAAATGTTTATATCTTAGCTTAAAATTCATTTGTTAATTTTATAAAGAAGAATGATGAAAACAAGAACCTCTTAAGTGTGTCCCATGTCATAACGCAATAGTGTAAGATGCCTCAAACAATAAAGTCAGAAGGATTCAGACAAAAAATGAAACAAAATTGCTAGGACATCTTTTTTAAAAATATATTTATTGATTCCAGAAAGGAAGGGAGAGGGAGAGAGAAAGATCAATGATGAGAGAGAATCATTGATTGGCAGCCTCCTGCATGCCCCACTCTAGGGATTGAGCCTGCAACCCGGGTATATGCCCTAACCAGGAATTGATCCATGACCTTCTGGTTCATAGGTCGATGCCCAACCACTGAGCCATGCTGGCTCGGCTGCTGGGACATCTTGTGATTTTTCATCATCATACTAATAGAGGGTTATCAAAATCCCCATATGCAGACATCTATTAGCAAGATGATTTTTTGAGTGTGTGTGATCAGATGATTCCTGAAAACAGAAAGATAAATATCTGATGGACTTTTCTCCCCCTCCAATCACAGTGGGTTTCACATTATTACTTCATGAGCTTTTTAAAAATATTTACTAGGTGGGAGCAGTGTTAATCTGAGTTTTGCTATTCTGACAGTTCCTCAAGCTGTGGTGCAAATCTCTATTTCTTCCTTACCTTGTGCATTCCATCCTTCCCCTGAGCCCCCTTTGTGAGCAGTGGGAATCCCACACATAATGCCATGAATCTCAGTAAACACTCTTTGTTTCTACATGATTAATGGCATTGCACCTACTGCCATACTAAGGCATGGAAATATACATGGAAAATGATACAATATTTTTCCGTTATTTTGTTTATGGAACCTCTTTGAAAGCCTTGACTTTGCTAATTGAGAAAGTCAGTTCAAAAGAGGGTGCAGCCATTACCTTTCTTAGAATATTTTATTAACTCTAGAAACATATCTAATGTAATACTGGTAACAATATTTACCTATTTTGGGGGTGGTCTATGTAATTTTCCATTTAAATTTATGAAAAGCTAATTTTCATGAAAACATTTCTTTGAAGTATTTAGATTTGTAAGGATAAATCAAACTTCTTCACTCAATCAGCATCATAGAGCAATTAGAAGGCAGCTGTATAATTTGTTACAAAGTGAAAATAAATGTGATGAATATTGTGCTTGAGTTGGATTTTGTTTCACGCCAGGTGAATAACTTTTATTTAGAAGTTTTCATTGTAATTCCAAATTATTCATTAGAATTGTCTTTTTTCTTTTCCTTTTTAAAGAATTGTTAGTAGTCATTCTCACCATGCAGTATCTACTCAGCCACCCCAAAGATTCAATGAGCTTCATAATTCCAAACAAGTTCTATTAAACTGCCAAAAATCCTAATAGATTATAAAAATGAAACGCTGTCTCCAATTTTTAGCCGTACGAATTCTATTCTTGACTATTGAGAAATGCAAGTTCTGACACTATTCATTATGTCAATTTGAGGACTGTGGAACTAAAAGTAACCCCCCCCCCTTTCTTCTGGATGTTTTTACTTGCACGTACAAAAATTAAAATTGTTTAAGCCATGTCCAAAGGATACCCTAAAATGAATTATTCACTCCATGGCAATGAAACAAACAAACACACACACACACACACACACACACACACACACACACACACACACACAGCTGGTACGCGGTAAGCAACTTCAGGGCAGGTGCAGTGCGAGTAGAATATCAGGAAATTGGATCCAGCTGAGAATTCCATTTACCTAATGAGGGTGATCTGCTTTCACTCTAATTTCTTGGTGTATCTAATTCATTATCATCTCTAGCATAAAAATCATGCTTTAAAATCACACTTAAAAATGGAAATAAATATTCATCTGGCCGAGTTCTTTCATTTGGGTGGAGGAGACGAAAATTTCAAGTTACAAAGAAATACAAACGATAAAGACTTAAGATGGAGCAGTAACAAAGAATCCTCGAAAGGGTCCGCCACTGCTTTGTTCTGGTACACTGCTTAAGAGAAAGACACATCACAGGGAATTTGTGAAACACAAAATGCAATTTTTATTGGTCTACTGGGGAGTAAAATAATTATACCTAGCTCTAGCAAAAATCCAGCACTGTCCTCGGGCAGCTATTATTCAGCCCGAGTTATCATTATTAGTAATTTCCCAGCCAGGCTCTGACTACCGGCAAGAATCAGCCCGCGCCAGGCCCCTCTCTCGCCCGCCGCAGCAGACCGGGCTTGGCAAGTAAGATGCTCGGTGTTTGCGCATAGGTGACCCGCCTTTGCTTTGTGTCTGTGCTGCAGGTGGGGAGGAGGAAGAGGAACAGAGGAGGAGCTGGCGGCCGGCGGTCCCTGAGCAGCCCCCCAGACCCTCGAGCAAGCCCCCTTTCCACGGCCGAAGAAACCCACGGACCTACCCACTGGGGTGGCCAGAGGGCCTGAGCGCGAGAGCCCGGGACCTGGCGGTCGGGGGCGCCAGCCCCTCATGTTCCGCAGAAGGCGCAAATGTGAGCAGGCGGTAGCGGGGAAAGCCCTCCGCCCCCGCCAGGGGGACCCGGGAAGCCCGTGCGGGCTCCTCCCGCGGATGGCGGGGATCCCCCTCTCCGGCCCCGCCCCCATCCTCCTCGGGCCCGTGTGTCAGATGGTTAACCCTACCCGCGCCGCAGAACGCTAGGGCGAGAGCTCCGCGCAACCAATCCCGACTCCCGGGCACTGAGCGGCCGGGAAAGATCCGCGCTGATTTTAAGGACAAACCTAGGTTCAGGCCCCGTGGTTATTCCCGAGCCCTCGTGTAGCCAGTCGCCAAACTTTTTCTCTCCAAAGCGGGCCCCCCACAGTTATCTGGCTGGCAGTCGAAGCCCACTCTCTGCAGGACAATTGGGGAGAGGTGGGTGTGGAGCGGGGGGCTGCTGTTCTGCAGCCTTTTGAGGCGTGCCTGGCGGCGGAGGAGTGGCCGGCTCCGCACTGTCCCTGCGCCTGACCCTTTGCCGGGTGGCCCAACGTGCTGCAGTACCCGGCGCAGGTGATCTAGACTGCACGTCCGGCAGTAGTTAGGTGGGGGAGAGGGGGGCGCGACACGGAAAGAAGGGAGGGACACCCTTTCTTTTCTCCTACCCCTGCAGCCTGGCTGCACTGCCTGGGGGCTCCCCATCCTTAGCGGTGCTCACAGGCGCTCCCAATCGGCAGGTGGAATCCTCGCCCTCACCTTGTCCTGCGCACCCTTGGATTTTCACCCTGCAGATCCCTCTCCCTATTTTCCCTCTCACACACACACGCTCCCCTGAGCCGCGCGCCGCAAACTCAGTCTTGGTCCCCGCAGGTGATGTCATGCCCATTGTTTTGGTGCGCCCAACCAATCGGACTCGCCGCCTGGATTCTACCGGAGCCGGCATGGGCCCTTCCTCGCACCAGCAGCAGGAGTCCCCGCTCCCGACCATAACGCATTGCGCAGGGTGCACCACCGCCTGGTCTCCCTGCAGCTTTAATAGCCCTGACATGGAAACCCCATTGCAGTTTCAGCGCGGCTTCTTCTCAGAGCAGCCGCCGCCGCCGCGCTCCTCACACCTGCATTGCCAGCAGCAGCAACAGAGCCAGGACAAGCCGTGCCCGCCCTTCGCGTCCCTCCCGCACGCA